TGAGATAGGTAGGTACCCAGTTGCCAGTCCACCGCGCTTGAACGGGACCCGCGCGTCGTCGATCGAGAATAGAAACCTTGGCTGACACTACCACCTTTTGCGCAGCTGTGCCAGTGGCTGAGCTTACCTCATCGCTTGTAGGCTTGCAAGTCAGCGCTTCGAACGTCGCGACTGCCGTCTCGTCCGTTCCTCTCCCTCGACAAAGCTCTCTCCCACACCTCATCCTAGTGTCCTTCTTCCTGTTTTGTTTCCATTCGAAATGGCTAGATGAGTGCCGAGCCAGTCAATTGCGAATCACACCTAGACTAGAACAACGAACCCCTCGATCCGCCCGACTGCCCCGCGGCATACCTCATCCGGAGGCTCCGGTCCCAACCCAGTAAACCGACCGTCCACGATGCCGGCCGACTACGAGTCCGCAGCGCGGGCGCTTTCCATCTCCCCGAATCCTTCATCCCCAGAGAACGACCGCAGCGACATCCGCCCGCCATGGTCCACGTCGCGATCATCCCGCCGCCTGTCCAGCGCCCGCTTTGGCAACCGTAAGACGACCGCCCTCTCAGCCGTCAACCGCGCGATCCAGTCAGCAGTCAAGACCGGTAACAGGTTATGGACCATGTACCTCGGCCTCTCCCCCGTCCAGCGTGTTGCGGTCGCAGTATTCCTGCTCGTCGTCAACGTCCTCGGCCTGCTCTTCCTCATCTATTCGCACGCAATCTTCAAGTGGCTGGCCCCGGTATCACAAAAGTGGAGGGCGCTCCCGGGAGGATGGCTGATTATCTGGGCCTTTACGTTCATGACTGCCTTCCCGCCCATGATTGGGTACAGCACGGCCATTTCCGTGTCGGGGTTCGTCTATGGCTTCCCGCTGGGTTATCCGATTGTCGCGACGGCGACGGTGGCGGGCAGCCTGACGGCGTTCTACACAAGCCGAACGATATTCAGCAGCTACGTCCATAGACTGGTCGGGCAGGATCATAGGTTCATTGCGCTGGGACAGGTACTGAGGAAAGACGGCATAAAGATGTTGACGGCTGTGCGCTTTTGTCCCTTGCCGTACAGTCTGTCCAACGGCTTCCTTTCGACCATCCCCTCGATCAAGCCGTGGGCTTTCGCAGTCTCGACAGCTCTGGCAAGGTAAGCTCCCCTCTCCCGCGCATGTCTGGTCACAATGCGACGACTAACATCAAATAGCCCCAAGCTGCTTGTCCACGTCTTTATCGGCAGCCGCCTGGCCCTCCTCGCTGAAAAAGGCGACGAGATGTCCGCCGGTGGCAAGGCCATCAACTATATCTCCATGATCCTTGGCGGCGCCGTCGGTCTGGTCGTCGGCTACGTTATCTACAACCGCACCATGGCTCGCGCCGCCGAGCTGGCGCTCGAGCAGGCCGAGTCCGAGGGCGCCGTAGCCCCCGGGAGAGAAGGAGCGCCGGATTACTTTGACGTCGAGGCTGGCCTCGTTGACCCCGAGGACGTCGCTGCGCTTATGGACGACGACGACATTTCGCTCTGGGCCCGCGAGGCAGTGGATGACGAGGAGACCCAGGTCGGCGGGTATTATGACGATGACGACGATGACGACAACGGAGATGGTCTCAAGGGACAAGGGACAAAAGACAAGGGTGACGATGACCGGGATGAGGAGAGCACCGGGTTCAAAGATGCGGATTAAGGTGTAGGTCGTTCTCTACGCCGATTGTGGTAGACATAGAATTGGACTACTAGACATAAGGCGCATCATGAAATTGAGTAAAATGAACGTAGCCAGGGACTCAACATGTGACGCTTTCATGACCAAGTATCTCATATTTTGTGTCTCGTGGTATCATACGGACGAGTTCTGTCTGCTATCCCCTGCGTCCAATCATCCCTTTTGCCCGGACTTCGTCAATCTGTACGTAAAACTCGTGCTACACCACGGAAGCTCGAAGGTGAAATGAAGCAATGTGTCAAAAGTCCCATCCCAACGCCTTCGCTAAAATAAGACAAACGCCTCCATCCCGATATCAAAATCGACTGTTGTAATTGCGTGAGAAGAAAATGTCGTAGGGAACGGCGGAAAAAGGATTATTGCCGTCCCTGAAAATGCTGCATGAATTGTATCGCTTGCTCAATAGGGTAACCGATGAAGACAGGTCCTGTGAACACCATCTGAGGGACGCCGCCAGCGAGGGGTTGCTTGTATGCGTCTAGAGGCGGGTTGATGAAGGCTGGCTGAGGCGGCGGAGGACTGTGTGAAGTCTGGGGCTGGGGCTTGACCGGTGTTGAAGGGAGTTCCACCGGGTCTGGCTCAGGCTCCGGGTGCACGAAGGTCTGCTCGCCGGTGTTGGGCGTTGGAGAGGTGAAGCCCATGGCGGCCAGCTGAGCATGGTCGAACGGGCATTTACCTCCGGTCTTTGGGGCAGACCCGGCGTGGTCGCTCGTTCCGTTGGGCATGAACATGGGCGCCGGCGGCGGTGAGACGGGTCGGGGGTCTTCACGGGGCGCGGCCATTGCCGCCATCTTTGTGTGGTCAAAGGGACACTTGCCAGTCTTCGCCGGGGTGTCCTCCGGTGTGTCCCCGACGTCTGTGCCAGATGGCATGAAGACGGGAGCAGGTGGCGGCGACATGGGAGGGCGTTCGTCGTCATCCAGGCCGTTGCGCTCGTACACTGGAACCGAGATGCCCCACGGTCGGCTAGGTGACTCGCCTACCCGAACCTCCTTCAGGGGCCGATCGAAGTGACTCTGCCGCGCCTCCTCGGCATCCTCCAGCGCCGGCAGCGACTGTTCGGCATCGTCAGTGGCGGTAGCAGTGACGGCCTTTGCCCAGTTCTCAACCCTCTCATTCGATGCCCGATCAATCTCTTCTTGCTCCTGCTGAGACGATGGCAGCATGGGCTGGTGCAGCGCACTAAGTCCTTGTATCATGTTCACCAGGTTGCCGTACTTTGCATCGAGCTTCTTGATCTGCACTTCGTTCTTCTGATATCTCCTCACGCAGACCTCATGGCTGCGAGGCAGTTCGTGCTTGTGTGTTTCGACGTAATGCGCAATCTCTTCGGGGGAGTGTTGATCGAGGTAACGGATCGGGCACTTCGCGGGCGAGCCGCCGTTGGCAGCTGCCTGAGACGTGGATTCTTCGAGCATAGCAGCGCAAATGGGGTCGGCGGAGTGGTGTGGCGTGGGGTCCTGCGACCCGTTTTCCGCGCTTTGCGCATCACCCTCGACGGCGCCATCCACCTCCGCCGTCTTTGGTGCGGAGAAAGGACATTCCAAGTGTCCCTTCTTGCCCTCGATTGTAAAGTCCTGCTCGAGCACAGTCGACATGGAGGTTCCGGTTTCGGCTTCACGGGAAGAGGTCTGTCTGCTAGAGTCGCTCGTCTTGCTCGTTTCGCCGACGGACGACAGTTGTTGGGCGACGCGCCGGCCTTCTCGGATGATGAGTGCGATTTGGTTCCGGGTATCCAGCTTATTGCGCTTCGGGAGAGGGACTGCTTGGGACGCTTCTTCGAGAGATGGATTTGCTAGTTCGGGAGGCAGCTGTAGCTTTGCCAGTACTTCTGAAATCTCGGGAGCAGCAGGTGCATGTTTGTCGGCGAGGTATTGGTACTGAAGGCACTGTCGGGTCAGCATGAATTATCACCGAGGCTGGCCGGACGACGAAGCAAGAGACATGGAGTCGCAAGTCAGGAAATGGTAAAAAGTGGTCGGTCTTTGCTCCTAAGTAGTACAGAGGAGCTCTTGATCTAGAGCTAAGGTTGCTCACCATGCAAGGCAAGGGAAGGGGTGCGTGTGTGAGAGTGTCGCATGGCGCCGGGGCGGCGGCTGACAAACCCACTCGCGTGTGTTTCGAGGGTTCTCCGTACCTGTTCGTGAGCGAACCTGAGCTTGTGCTCCAGGATCGTCTTCCTGTCGGTCAGGATCTGGACTTCATCAGCGAGGGCGTTGAAAGAATCAACCAGCGTTTGGGTGAGATGTATGTAATTCATCCCACTGTTTGTGACTTCGCGATCGGAGCATGTGGGATGTGGCTTGAAGGGGCGGAGAGACGTCTTTGATGTTTGGAGTGATGGGAAGACTTTCGTTTCGCTACCCATCTTTGCCGCCAGGACGCTTGTCCCCCGGACAGTCAGTCACAGTGGGAAGGGCGACGGGGCGCGCGCGGTCCATGGGCTTGGAGTCCCGACCATATTTTGCCGAGCCGAGCAACGCTTCGGATCCTGGGCGTGGGGGCTGATGTCATTGGCTGGCTATCGGCGCTAAGCTTATGTAAGAGGTCTAGACCGAGCTGTACCTCGAAGAAAGTGAGCCTATCAAACCATACCTACTAGGTAGGCCATATTTACCAAAACCTCAACCAAGGCGAAGCCAAGAAGAATTTAGTTACTTTCAAGACTGTCCAAAATTCGGACTCATTGCGTCGTCCCTGGTATGCAACATAACATGGGCTTTCGACGTTGGGTTTTGTCAAATTTCCTGCCTGAAGCCCATCAAAACCGACTTAAGACTAAGCTAGCCAGCCAAGTTGAGTTATGCTAGCAGAGCTTAGAATCCACTTGGTATTTATTACATGCTTCCAGGGTGCATCAAAGGACGACATGAAGCTACTCATGCATTTCCGGCCTTGTTCTTGCACAGTTTCGCCATACGTTGATTTTTGATCATGCTTACCCGCAAGAGATAATTGGTAGGATCTAACGAGACTACAGCAAAGAATATTCACTGGAAGGACATCCAAGAAGATGAAGTTTCGAGGCAAGAAGCAGCTTGTGGGGTTGGATCGGGAAATTGCACTGTGTCCTCCGGCAAAGGTCGCCGCTGCTTACACTGTGCGAAAGCCCCAGTTGCCGTTCTGAGAAGGTGCGACGTCTCACTGCACTTATCTCATTCAACGACTGCGCGGGGTTGCCAAAGTCGCTCAAACCATCGAACTTACAATCTGCCACGTCAAGCATTCTTCTCTGCAAAGATCAGTCTAGTACTTTCTGTATCTTTCCTTGGGGGTTTTCAGTCCCATCATGGCGTCCAAAGTGATCAATGCAGCAAAGCTGCTGAGCAAGAGATCCCATGTCATTCCAGGTAAGTTCACCCAGATACCATTTCCTCGCGTCTTATACGCATAGAAACAACACTAACGCACCTCCAAGGGCAATTCCTCGTATCGGAACTCTTCTTTGAGGTACCCAAGGACTACAACAACCAGTCTGCAGGCGTCCTCAGGCTCTTCGGCAGAAGTGTCACCAAGCACGAGAGACCCATAGTTGCCCCGACTGAGTCTGAGAAGAGGCAAGCTGAGCAAAAGCCATGGATGGTGTTCCTGCAGGGAGGACCCGGATTTGGCAATCCAGAGCCTCAAGACAGCCCTGTCACCCATACCGCACTTGATCGGGGATATCAAGTTCTGTTCCTCGACTACAGAGGCGTCGGCCTGAGCTCGCCCGTGTCAGCTGCTGCTCTAGCACTCCATGGCGATGCTCAGAAACAGGCCGATCACCTCAAGCTGCTTCGTCAAGACAACATCGTCAAGGACTGCGAAGCCGTGAGGGCCTACCTCACAAAGGATTTCCCGGAGGAGAAGAGGAAATGGTCCCTTTTCGGACAGTCTTTTGGTGGTTTCGTCATTCTGACATACCTCTCCAAGTACCCCGAAGCTTTGCGCGAGTGCTTCCTGACTGGCGGCCTTGCCCCCGTTGGCAAGAAACCGGAGCAGGTCTACGAAGCAACCTTCAAGAAAGTCATGGAGAGGAACCACGCATACTACGAGAAGTACCCTGAGGACATTGAGAATGTCCATCAGGTGGCCCGGTTCATCCAGGAGAAGAAAAAGATCAATCTACCTGGTGGCGGCTTTCTCACTGTTCCTCGGCTGCTCACCTTGGGACTCGCATTCGGCGGCCACGGCGGTCTCGATTCTGTCCACAGCACGGTTCTCAAGTTGAAGACAGACCTCGAGAATTTCGGCTTTTTCACCCGCTCAAGCCTCTCCGATATTGAGAACGCCACAGGATTCGACAACCACATCATCTACGCTATCCTCCACGAGGCCATCTACTGCGAAAAGCCAGGCTGGGCTTCTGACTGGGCGGCTTACCGAGTCGGCAAGTCCTTGGAACAGTTTTCCTGGTTGGCACAAGAGCCTATAATCTCCGAGGTCGCTGGGCCTCCCCTCTTCTTCTCTGGAGAGATGATTTTCCCGCTGCACTTCGAAACGTACCCGGAATTGATTGAGCTGCGCGAGGTCGCCGAGATTCTTGCCAAGTTTACTGACTGGCCTGAGGACCTGTACGACCACGAGCAACTTCGCAACAACGAGGTTCCTGTATATGCCGCCAGCTACATTGACGACATGTACGTCGACAATCAATTCGCCAGGGACACGGCGGCCCTAGTCAAGGGTTGCAAAGTATACGAGACGAATCAGCTGTACCACTCTGCGCTGCGCTCCAAGACAGAGGACGTGATGAGGGAGCTCTTCAAGCTGCGGGACAACCCTATTGACTAGTCTATTCTCCCCTACATGTCTACGATGCCAAGGGCACTTCAGATGGGTATCTTTGATGCTGTCTTCCTCCAGAAGCCGCATCTCTTTTCCAAATGGTCCAACTCAGCGGTCGCAAACCCCGCGTCCACAATTGTCCATTCTTTATTTTCTTTCAGGGAAGGCACTCCGGCCGCCGTCGATGGCGACAGTTTGAGAGCGTTAGGGTCACCGGTCTGGAAGAAGGATGCAAAAGCGCCTGAAAGTGTTAGTCAGAGTAGCGTTCAATGAGAGCTTTCTCAAAACACCTACCAGCATAGCCTTGGTAACGGGCTGGATCCGTCTTCTGCACCGCGTTGACCTGGTTCCACTGCTTACTGTCAGCCGGTTGCCCTATCCATCATTCAAAATCCACCTACCCAAACGGTATCACTGGCGTGCTTGGATGGGTTGAGCGAATACTCGCCCAACCACCCACCCTTCGACGCCGAACCTCCGAACCAAAACGCAGGGCACGACAACACAGCGTCCCTGTAAACAAGACCCGCTCTCACATATGTGGTGTTATATGAGATGGTCTCCGTTATATCGGCTGGGGGGTAAAGCTTTTTCACGGCCTCGATCTCGCAGTCACCAAATCCGGGAAGAAATCCTCTCAGCCACTTCTCAAACGACGCCTCACTCGAATTGAAAGAAGGCGACCCCGACCTCGCTTCGCTCTGCAGCCCGGGCGGGATGAAGTTCTCGCCCTCATGCGTGTTGTGAAGCGCAAAGGCCAGGTCCATGTTCACGTTCCCCTTTTCGGTCGCCTCGCTCAACGGTTCCCGCAGAAACTCCCCGTCGATCACGGGCGACCACGTAAACGAAGACGTGTTGTACTGATGCGAAGTCGAAATAGCGAGGCTGGCATCCCGGATCGTTTGCACCTCGGCCTTTTTCAAGCATGCCAAGCTGTCCGCTCCAGCACAACCCGTCCGTCTCGCAAGCTCATCGTAGAGAGCCTGCGCTTCGGTGCTGTCGTAGCGGTACGTCTTCGGCCAGAACGGGCTGCTCGCCATCGCCTTGCGGAACAGCTTCTGCTTCCCTCCTCTTCCGAGTGCCTGGGCGAGCACGCTGCCCCCGCCGGCCGACTGGCCCCATATCGTGACGTCGTCCGGGTTTCCACCGAACTGCGCGATGTACTTTTGTGTCCATTTCAGCACGGCTTCCTGGTCGAGGACTTCGCGCAACGTTAGCATTTTCGCCATTTCATATTCCAATGAATCTACTTACGGCCCGGGTTGAGGTCGGACTTGGGATCAGCGGCGATTTCCTTGCCTGGGAGGAGGCCGAAAGCATTCGTGCGGTAGTTTGGATATATGAAAAGCATGTCTGAGGCATCGGAGACGTTGAGGATCGGATACGCGGACGGCGGGATCGAGAAATAAGCACTGCCTTGTATGAAACCTCCCCCGTAGAAAGTCACACTGTTTGCGTTGCTGGTCAGCTGGAAGACGACTCTTTTCGACGCCAGAGGCTACTTACACCACTGGTTTCAGGGGCTGCGATTTCGTCCACGGACGTGAATAGAGGCCAAGATACAGACAGTCTTCGGAGCCATTGACCTGCAAACCCAGGTTTCGTCAGCCTACACCATCCTCTGATGACTTTTGCTCGCATGGGAGCCAGAAACTCACTGTCCGCTGCGGGCACATGTCAAACAGCTGGCTCGAGTCATAGACCCCCTCGATACTCTGCGGCGGCTGCGGTCCACGGAACCGGTTCTCTCCCACGGGCGGCGAGGCGTAGGGAATCTTCTGCCAAAACGAAATGTTGTAAGTCTCGGAATACGCGCCTTGGAAGCTTCCGTAGTCCGTCTCGGCGAGAAGGTGCGTCTGCGTCTGGCGAGCTTGTGCTTGGGGGAGCGCAGCTACGGCGCCGGCGGCCGCGAGGGCGGTGAGCACCGCGGTGGTAAGTGTCGACGGCATCGCAGGGCAGGAGAAACGCAGCTCTCAAGCTCGAAGGTAGTTCAGCACCGTGGGATCGGCCTCATGATGCCCAGATCCTAAGGGCTACAGGGCGGATATATACATGGCAAGCTTCGCAACGGCTTCGGCCCAAGACGAAGCGACGGAACCGGGGGGGGAAGGGGCGTGATCCCAAGGGTATGGGAAATTAAGCAAAACCTAACCTCGTCATCCGAATCCAGGCTTACCATCAGGAACCGGTGCCCCCCGTCCTTACACTCTGGTTTAGGCTCCGTCTTGTGGGGTAAACAACACCAATGGTGGGGTTCCGGAGCTTGAACCCCAGAATTGTGAATAGTTTGCGGGGACCCCGGGAGGGGGGCTGGGCTCGGTGATTCTCCTCAATCATGTACCGAAGCTGGATGCTGCAATTTCTCCGCACCGGACGAGCTGTGTGGGTTGGTCACCCACCACACCATCACACACGAAAGAAAAAGAGATGGGATGTTCTTCACGGCTGAAGGGAACCACTGGTCTGCGAATTTGCTATGAAGCTACTTGCACGGCATCATCTGTAACGACGTTCGGATGCAACGGCAGCGGCGGCATGGGGAAAACGTGTTTGTTGCTCTGTTTTGGCCCAACTCAACAAACCACCCCTGCCTTCGGACCAGGAGTGATGAGTCGCGCGGTTCTAGTTCAGCTTCATGATACCATCGAGTACCACCTCATATCAATAGATCACATGCGCCACGGGAAAGGGACCTGCATACGTCGATCGGATGAACGGACTGAGGCGCAATAGTACACTGGGGTATGTAATTCTGCTTCAGAATGATGGGGTAACAACCACACAGCAATGGTCCCCTGTGGATGGGAAGCTGGGATAGTACAGCCCGCTGGAAGGGCTCCATCAAACAAACTTTCGCCGCGACGACCAACGTTACTAGACTACATTTCAAACCCGGAAACCCTTCACAAACACCATTGGACAAAATATTGACAAGAGATCAGTGTTCGTGTTTCTGGTCTCAAAAGTAAGCAGCCGTGCCAAGCGCACGAATGGAGAGAAAATATTACGCCGCTCCTCGCTAGGAATGTCTCCATCACCACGGAGCCGGGTGCCAGTGAGGTTGCGGTGGCGGTGGCGGGGGATGCCGCATATGCGGAGGCAGAGGCGCGCCGACCGGCCAGACGGGCATTGGATGGGCGTGCGTTGCTCGTTCCATGGACGGAAGCGTCCTGCTCCCCAGATCCTCTTCTCTGCGCATGGCCGTCTCGCGGAGCATCAGGGCCGCCACCTCCGGGTGGCCGATCAAGAACTCGGACGTCTGCTGCGGTGCTCTCTGCCACAAAAGCGGCTGCAGAAAGCCAACTCTGGCAAATACCATCTTCAACAGACCGTCGGACTCGGGCACTCCGGAGTACAGCTTCGAGCACAACGCCAAAACGGCCGGCTGGGCCGCATCGGACCCGGCGGACTCGAGCATGTCGACGCAGTGACGCATGATTGCCGTTTTGAAGTCGTCCATCAGGAACTTGTTGGCGGTGATGTACACGTCCAGGCTGAGCTCGTACGTCAGGAGCCAGGTTCGCATATCTTCACCCCGTATACGATCGCCATCCATGAAGTCCTCGTTACCCGACGCGGGATTGTCATTCGAGGGTGTTGAACCAGGCGGTGTGAGAATCTGGGGCCGACTGCGACGCCGGCGGTGCGGAGGGATGAATGCTGGCCGCGTGAGAGGCACGGGAGGCCCTGGCATCATGTGCGGCATGGGTCCGCCGGGCATCGGCCTTGAGCGGCCGACGCCACAATTCCAGCATGGCGACGTGGACCCGGTCGTGGTGGTGGTGCAGCGCGGACATCTGCAATCTGGGCGGTGTGCGCCGGGTTGCTTGCGGTTCTGACGCTCCCATTGCCGCTCTCGCCGCCGTTGCCGCCGCTGCGCCCGTAGTCGACTTCTAGCGCTGGCATCGCTGGCCTCCGACGATGAAATTTCCGATTCCGATTCGCTTTGATATCCAGTTTCTTGTGCTTTGCCCCGGGCCGACTCCTCCTGGTCCAACGCCGATGCGGCGGGCCTGATGGGAATGAAGCTCTTCTGGTAAAGAAAGGCGACGAGAAAGTGGAATATGGCGGGGTCTTCTTCTGGAAAATCCATCGATTGTGCCTCAGCCTCTCTGAAATCGCCACAGAGCGCTTTGCGGAAGTATTCGGTCGTCACCAAGATGTCTCTGTGAACTTGGAAAATCTCTTGGTTTGGGACTCGGCCAACACGAAGCGGAATGATGGCCGAATTGTATCGGCCATCTGCGGATGTCAACCACAAGTCCTCGCGAGGGCTGGGTTCATCTTTTCGCTTCTTCTCCTCGAACGTGTCATCAAGTACAATCACACTCGGACAGTCGGCTGTTGATGTCCTCAGGACATCGCCCAAAGTCCGCGCAACATCTCCTGTACTGCTGCTGCTGCTGCTGCTTCCTCCATTTAGACCGCGAGAGACGGCAGACATTGAGAAAAACGCGCTCGACACACTATTGGTCGGTTCCTTCGGTGTGGTGGTACCGGTCGGCGGTGGATATCGAGGATCGTTAGCAACCTTGGAAAGCTGACATGAATGGCCGGGACAGGACTGCAACCAACAGACCGGAGAGACGTTTCCAGCTGGATGAATGAGGTTCGAGGAGCGACGGGCTTCATATAGGCTCGGATTGCGCGCAAGACCACCAAGGTCAGGCAGCCACACCACTGGAGAGGTAAGAATTATGCACAAGTCGAACAAGACGTGGACGGATGAGGGTGGGTAGCTCGGTGGGCGGTGGCTGTCAGACCTTTGTTGGCCGCGCCCAGCAGCCTCGCGACCGCCAACTATGGCGAGGCGCATCTGGGTCACTAGGAGTCCGCCGGCCGAGTCCCGTTCGGGACATGGTCGATTTTTCTGTTCCCGCTGCGTCTTCTGCTTCCCTGCTGTTCCTGCTGTGTAACTAGTGCATGAACGGTTCTATCGTCGCATGGAAGAGTCGAGTGCATGTCAGGTGTCACCTACAACTTGGTGTCGGCTTGACACCATTCGC